CTTCTTCGTCTTTGCCTAGGAGCTCATCTTCTTTTTTGGGTCTTGGGCCGACTATGATGGCTGCTAATATGTTGGGGCCTGGCGTGGGTTCGTCGGTAGGCATGTCTGCTAGTGCTGGGATACCTGCCGCTGGGGCAGAAACGCCGTCGAATGCGAGTGAGAGGACCTTGGACCCGGCTACTTCCACTGCGACTGCGACTGCAGGTGCAACTTCGTCAGGCTCGGATGTCCAGCCTTTCACGGCTTTGTTGCATAGAATGCTTGCGACCATGACTTCGCACAAGGCGACCGATCAGGCACAATCTGGGAATGTCGATGGGGGTTCGATCACTGGTATGCCTGTAGGTGCGCTTGGTGTGACACCAAAGGTAAATGGATCATCATCGGTCCTGACAGCGAAGTTGGCTGCTGCACCTACAATGCCTGCTTTTCCCGAGCCAGTTCCTTCTTCGAGTATCCTTGATATCACCCCTTCTGCGACAACGACCGTTAATCCTGCTCCCGTTGTTTCTACCCCTTCCGATCTATCTCTAACCGCTCCTTCTCTTTTGGACGCCACTACCACTTCGGCCACCAACCCCAGCACTCTATCACCTTCAATAACATCAGTCCAGCCACCGACACCAATTTGGGGGGACAGCGCACAATCGGTTATTGCCCCACCACCCTTAACCCCCATAAAATCTATGCCTATGCCAATTATGGCCAGATCTCCAAGTCCGTCGGTGAGCTCCACGGCATCTACTCCCCCTGCTGCGCGGACACCGGCTCCTGCTCCTCCTGTTGTGAACCCGTCTGTTGTACTACCCATGCGGTCGACGGCGAGTGCTGCTTCGATTTTTACGGCTACTGCTGGTGATTCGTCTGTTACGACTACGGGAACTGAATTGTATACGACAACTGGGGTTGATTCGTCTTCTACAACCACTGGCGCTGAATTGTCTACGACAACTGGCGATAATCCGTCTACGACATTGGTGGCTGGTGGTATCTCGTCCACTAAACCTGTTACGCCTGCTCCTTTGGTGCCAGATGTTGTTTTGCCTCACACGGCTGCTCCTATTCCCTCCAGTGAAGCGCCGGCTCTTCCACTCAGCAAAGAGCCAGCTGTCTCTTCGCCAGCCACAACGTCGTTCACGCCCGTTCAAAGCCAAGTAGAGGAAGCATCCACGGGCTCTGGATGGGCCTCGAACCTATTTTCTTCGGTGATGTCTCCTGGTGCTTCGACAATGCCTGCGTCCATCACTTCGGCTGCCCCCTTAGCAGCTCATACATATGCAGGCTCGGAGGATATGGAGATGAGTGATGAAGACGATCTGAAGGAATCTCATGAGAAGCCTACGGATTGGTCGATGGACGAAGCTCCTCTAGCCCTGACTTTGCCTTCTGTGGATGAAGAGACTTCGCTTATGGACCAGGCTTCTCGATTGCTCGAATCTGTGATTGGTCCTCGCGTTGAAAAAAGAACTGCTGGTATGTGGTCTATGTTTGCGACTGAGATTTTCCTATTAACGTTGTGGTTAGAAGCGTCTGTAATAACCGTACCTCCGGCCCCCGTTCTTCCTGAAGTCGAACTGTTGAAGGAATTACCTGTGTCACATAACTCTTCGGGTATGTTTTCCGGAGTTTTCCGAGGACCATTACTTAAATGGACTGTAGATGCTACTCCCACTGCCCCTGATCAGGCACCAGTAGCAGAGAAAGTCTTTGACGCTCCTCAACAACCTATACCCTCTGGTACCCATCAAGTGGAAATTTCTCCCTCCCTGACTGATCAAGTTACAGAACCCACTGTGGCTGCAGCCTTCCTCAGCCCCTTATCTGCTTTGGAGAAGGAATTTAGTACGTATTATTCAAAGATGGTCCAATTCGTCGCCAACCTCTAGCTCATGACAGATCCTCCTCCAGTTGAAGTATCACGTGCCCCAATTTCACCAGTCTTGTCACAGCCATCAGGTACGTGGAACAATTGGCATTTTCATCCCACGCTCACTATTCAATCGTAGTCCTTCCGACTCCTCCGTTTCCCACCGTTTTGACCACATTTGCCCCGCCCGACAACCTAGACTCTCATATCAACGGTACGCCATTGTTACCTTACTGGCCTTACTCTTTATTCACGTCCCATATTAGTGACGTCGATGAATATTGTTTCGGCTTGGGGAAAACCACCATCACTGGCCAAGGCTTCCGTCATCAAATCACTCCTTCCCACTTTAGATCGCCAAATCATGCAACTTCTCACGCCTTTGGTATCCGCACTCGCAGCAGCTGTGCCGATGGCCACTAACACTCCGGTGCCCGCTGCAGACCGACGCGGCACAGCTACTCGAGTCACTAGCGATCCTTGGGAGAGAGCTCTGGGTATCGCGGGCTCTATGCACAAGAGACGCGCGGCAGCTGATCCCGATGCGATGGACATTGATGTCCAGAGTTCGTCGTTGGGAGCTGAGGCGGAGAAGAGAGAAACAAATGTGAAGAGTGTGGTTAAGGCGCGGAAGGCTCCGCGAGAGAACGAGAAACAGAAGGAGAAAGAAACTGGGAAGAGCACGGGCGCTGCGCGGAAGGGTGCAGAGGCGGGCGGTAGTGGACAATCCACGAGGAAGAGACCGAGACGCGAGCAAGAGGAGGAAGCGGAAACAAACGCACCGACTTTTGCGGAAGTCCAGTCGCTAGAGGCGTTGTTGTCACTTCTGGAAGGCAGTCGGGCGTTGAAGGAGTCGGTTGCCGGCGGAAAGGCAGTGATGGAAACTCGGTTGGACGGTTTGGAAGGGCTATTGGGAAACTTGAAGAAAAAGCTGGATGATGTTGGGATTGTGGATGCGGACAGGAGATTCACCGCAGTGGACGAGAAATTGTCGGGCGTAGAAGGGAAGGTTTTGAGTATGGAGTCGGCTTTAGAGGGTATCAAGTCCTTGTTGGAGGGCGCCTCAACGAAGGTCGGAGAGTTGTCAGGGAGCCTGGAGCAGAGATTACGTCTCCTGGAGCAAAGGACCCAATTTGCCGAGGGACGACTTCAAATCGTGGAAACTCGTCCAGTGATGTTAACGGCCAGTACCCAGACGGTCAGCTTACCCCAAGAGGCGGGGATACAAACCGACGCCCAGAAGGAAATGGAAGAACTTGATTACATCGACCGACAGGACCACGATGTCACGATGGCAGACGTTTCCGAGGCTCACGCTCATAGGGTGAATGAGAGTCTAGCCGTCATACGCGACGAAACTGTGACGAAGAAGGTGCTCTCAGTAATGAGGAACATGGCCGATCTCTTAGAGTTCACGAAGGATGGTGCTGTCAGCAAGAAAGGGAAGGAGAAGGAGGGCGAAGAAGAGCCGCGCGAGGAGCAGGAACTCGTCTCTGATGCTCAGCCGCAACCCTCCACTGAGGAATCCGCTATTTCCACGCTTCTTGAAGAAGTCAGGGCTATGAAGGAGGAGTTGAGGAGTAGTGAACAACGCGCCAGGGACGAGGTCGAAGCCATACGAGCAGCGCATGCCGCAGAAGTGGAGAAGCTCAAGAATGAGATGCTAGCGAAGGAGAAGAAGGAGAGGGAAGAGCTTGAAGAAGCCACAAAGCGACATCTGGAGGAATTCAAGGCCCTGAAGGAAAGCATGCAGGAGAGAGAGGTCAAGCAGCAACAGGCTGCCATTCAGGAGCAGAAAGTCCCCCAATCCGACTTGATTGATCTTCGCCGTCGCCTTCTCTATCTCGAAACCCGGAACCGTGTTGACAACATGAGCCCCGATCTCCCTCGTTCGTCACCGAGTTCGTCTACTCCTCCCTACAACTCAATTGGACGGGATTCATCGCACCCTCTCGCCCATCTGTTCGCGTATGATGCACCTCCAAGTCCTGCTTCTCGAAACGCGCAGGGCTCACCCATGAAGGACGTTTCGATTCCAACATCAGGCACTCCCGCCCCGTCGTATGAAAAGAGCCACTTCTCTCTTCGTCCCCTAAACGGGATGGGCGAACTGGACCACTCCGCGCCCTTGCCGATAAAATCTCAGCGGAAACACCAGTTGATGGCGTACCGTGACCGAACGCACGTAGAGTAGTAGTACGATGACGTTGTAAATTTATCGTTTATTATCATGTTTCATCCGAGTAAATACGCGTTGTTGGCGTGTCTCGTCACCGTCGGTGTAAGTACTTGTCGTGTGCCACGACCGCCCACACGCCTCAACCGAAACTCTTCAAATGCAGAACACACCAAAGTGGATTGCAAGGCAGCGGATGAATTCGATTCTAACATTGCGTTACACCTGATAATGCATGGTACGAAGATGTACGACAAATAAGTACACGACTTCGTTCCGAGCAAGTTCCAAAGATCCATGGGTAGTCTTTCCTAGACAGACTACGATACAAGTGAATTTTTTTGTTGTATTGTATGTACGGTTCACGTTGTATATGCATACTTGCGAAAACGTGCACAACCACATCACCTTTTGATCTTTGACCACAACGGAGACCACAAGCCTAGTTCACATTACTTACGTGTGGAAGCAATGCATATCGGGAACCTCGAATTACCAACGAATTACGCTTAGTGAGTTTTAAATTTGGCTAGGCTTAGAGCAGGAACACTGCACTGTGGCGGTGGCTTTGGTTGGACGTTCGCTACGATTCAATTCAATCCTACGCCCACAGGACTTTTGCATAAGGCTGAAAGTAAGGAATACATTTCACGACACAATATATCAGAGCTCTAACTATCATAGGTTTTGTTTTCTGAGGTCTTCTTCGAAAACGGGTGAATATATCCGAAAAAAGAAAATTACATTATCCAGCACGCCAGTTTGTCGTTGAAATCTTCATCCAACACCAACCCCGCCATTCATCAGCCAACGACGAGTTGACTTTCCTTCTCCGCAACGATTTCTTGAGTCTGATTTAGTGTGTCAGTGGAAGAGTCAGACTCATCCACATCATCCACGTCGGCAATTCTGAAGTTGTTCGCCTGTTCGGCAGCCTCAGTGGGCTTGCGGGCCACTTTAGGCTCGGAATGGATTTTGGCCGTAATAAAAAAGGACTTGGGTCTCTCGATCACCTCAGCTTTCACCAAAGTTGATTTCGTTTCGACGTCCCGCCGGACTTCAATGTAATCTGTGGCGAACTCTCCAATCTGCGTCGCTATTAATCAAGATGTTTGGATATGGTTTTAACCCGGCGTACCTCGACTTCGTCCACACCGAGAACCTCTGCTTCAGGCGCACACCGTAAGCTCAAACCAGGGATGGAGTTGACGGTTTTGGCTATTAACGCGGTGAGGACGAAGGTGTAGATGGATGTTGCACAGACGTAAGCAAACTGCTTGGCCAGTTGCTCCAGCCATCTGTTTGGGGTGGCGGTGGTAACACCATCCATGGCCATGACCGTCGAAGAGGCAAAGAACGAGGTGAGTAGGAGTCCAATAATTCCACCAATTGCATGCTCAGCGAAGAGATCCAACGCATCATCCACCCGGAGCATGAATTTCACTGAAACGGGTCAGGATTTCCGTTGAATGCATAATTACCAAACACCTACACTTCGTTGCAAAATTGCACAAGGTTCCAGATATGATCCCGACAAAGACGGATGCCCAGGGTTGGATGTATCCCGAGGATGGAGTCGCTGCCACCAGACCAGCAATGGTTCCTGAGCAAAGACCCACCATACTCCAACGTCGATCGACACGATAATCCAACAAACACCAGACGATCCCACCGAATGCGGCCGCTATCATTGAATTCCAAACTGCAAAAATTGCACGTAGGTTGGCGCCGAAGGCACTCCCTCCGTTAAAGCCGATCCACCCAAACCATAACAAGGAAGCTGTCCGCAATGAGGTAAATGTCGCAAACAACTAGCTCAGAAGACTCACTTCCGAGTGCGACTAGGGAAACATTATGAGGTCTGAAATTGAGCAACTCTTGCTTTTTCCTTTGGCCAAGGACCCACGCGTACGCAAGGCCACCCATACCACTCGCAATCTCAACAGGGCCTCCACCTAACCTCGAATTAGAACCAATGCGATTGTTGAATTTTAGGTGTTGATCCCACTCACCGGCGAAATCGAGAACACCCAACTTGGCTGCCCATCCGTTAGCATTCCAGATCCAGCAAACAAGAGGGCAGTAGACGAGCGTCATCCATATAAAAATAAAAATCATTGCAGGCATCACTCTTCCACGCTCAGCAATACCCCCCACTAGGATACCAGCCGTGACACAGGCAAACTCCATTTGAAAGAAGCTGTAGAGGATGTCGGGGAGGAGGGGGGTCCCTGGGGAAGGCTCTCCCAGGACATTCATCAGGCCAATATTTCTGAGGTTCCCGATAATCCCGTTGGTGGCCGTGGGTGAGAAGCCCAGAGAATAACCGCAGAGGAACCACTGGAAGATGACGACGACGTTGCTCGCTGAGACGACCCAAATGAGCGAAACTGACTCCGAAACTTCAGAAGATGCTACGGTTTACAGAGGTAATGATTACATACGTGCGCTTTTTCGTCGAGACAAGCCGGAATAAAGGAAGGCTGTAATTTGATACCTAAATTGGTGCACTGTGGTTCGCTGAAGATGTACGAATACGCACCTAGTCCCGGGACCATAAGGTAGACCATCGCTCCGGAAACTATGACGAATGAGAGATCCCCATGGTCATATCTGTGAATGTACCAGTAAGGCTGAGATGTGGCACGCAAGGAAAAACATGGGCTCGTACGCGCTGGTCGCCACCCCGCTGCTAGAATTCATATAAAGGCACAAGATGAATTGAATAGAACAGATTAGGCACAGGCGCCACGAAAACGCTAAGGTGTCAAGCGAGGGACGGGAGGAGGGAGAAGCACCAGAGATGGTGTATTTATCTTGGAATGCGGGACTCCTTCGAGAAGAACCTGATCATTAGAATGGTGGTAGAAAAAAGATTGATGGTGAGATAAGAAAATTTAAGTGCGGGAGCGGGGGACGATAAGGATTTCTGCCGGGACGTTGGAACCCCCGCATGATCTGCCAGTTTAGTACCTCGTTATGTGTAGTTTTGGCGTCATACTTAAATCGTTGAAATGGAAGCTCTCATTTCTACAGTTTCTTCTCGGCCTTCTCCAGCCAATCAATTCGCATTGGTCGCATTAGACATACGAATTAAATCAAACTTAGGAGGAAATGCGGGCGTGGCATCATATTCCCATACCGTACAATGGTTAGATCGCCCAGTACGCGTTATTATCGTCAAGAGAAACTACAATAACCCCCCTTCAATACTGTCGTTCTCTTTCTCTCTGTTTTTTTTTTCAAAGTCGCGAAATCGCCATTGAAAGACATTCCGAAGAATAGGCGATTTCTCGGTAAAAATTCTTATCTCGTTGCGTAACCTAGAAGTGGTTCGCTGAAATGGGACATCGTTATCATGAGGAATAGTCAATGTAAGGATAGCGCAGAAGGGTTGACACGGCACCCCAAAGTTCCGTCGTCACCGGAACCAAACGCACCGAGTCAAAATGGGGGGATAACGAGTTCCAGCTGATTTACATAAACGAGTTCTCCTGAACCGTGGCCATAATCGAGGGAGGGTCTGGGGAGATTATTGTTGATTTTTTTTTTCGCTCAAGAACGCGGGATCAGGTAGGAAACGTCATAAATACGCCGAGTAGTAACATTCGTCGCCTAGGATTGCAATAACGCAAAGTGGATGTGAGACAGCATTTTTTAGGATGAGAAAAATCGGAAAAAGTGGATACTTGGCGGAAACTATCCACTAAAAGTTACAGTTGTATTTTCATTGCAAGGTTGGCTCAGGTTCTGCTGGAAAGACTTGAAGCTTTACAGTATATAATCGCAGTTGGGTATGAATAATAACATAGGGTACACATGACGGACTTACACCACAAAAATAAAGATTAAAGATTACAGAGCGTATCCTACGCCTTGTCATCGACAGCACGCTGCATATTGATACTTATCGCTTGCGCGTCTTTGGTTTCCTTCGATGCGGTAGTTGTAGTCCCCATAGCCTGCATAACGTACAGCGTGTTCCCACTTCCGGCACCACTCGTCTGGCCAAACGAGAACTGATTGTCGGTCCCTCATAATTTGTTGGTCTCGTTAGGGAGACCTGTAGCTTCCTGTGCCCATCCGAGGCCTGCCCTGACATTGATCATCATGCATGTGATGCCGGAAACTGGAGGCCAAGCGTCAACGATGAAGTATCCAAAGACATGGACTGTGATTCGTTCCTCACCACATCGGGGACAAAGACGACTACGCGTGTATTCAGAAATGCACTTCTAAAGCCTACACAATGTTAGTGACTAACCAGTGACTAGTAATGAACAAGCGGACGTGCACCTCTGACTCTTATGAGAACGGATGAATTCTTGCGTCGAAAATTAAAAATCGATGATCCCGGCTGATGCGATGGGTAAGCAGTGTGTTGGGAGAACGAGGAAGAAGGAGCAAAACACATACCTGGAGCTTAGGATGAGGGAAAGAACAGAGCGTCGTTGCGGTGCCTCGAGATGCCATCCCGATCCCACTGCGGGTGTCTCATTAGTCGTTGTTCGGTCAACTAGGAAAAGAGACAAGAAGAAAGGGCGAGAAGGAAGAAATCAATGGAAGGACAAACCGAACCAGAAGGGGGGGGGGGGTCTAGGAAAAGCGAGTGGACATACCCCGTATAGGCCTCCTCTCCAACTGACGTTTTTATCACCATCGACATTTTTCTAGCAAGCGCCCTGATCACGCTGACTGTCATCGGATGGCCAGGCATATTGCTAGTTTTTGCCAAGGGAACTATACGATCTAGGACTGCCACATCAGTGAAACCCCCAAAGCGACTCACTAGCTTCCATAGCAAAAGCTCGAAAAACTCTTGTCATGATGTGCGATCGACAAGCGGCGAGTTAAGGTGCAGGGGTAATCCTGTCATAGTAGTGTAAGGGTGTGTTAAGGGATTAGGATGATGTGCACACGATGTTTGAGGGCAGTATTGCGGCTCTTGCCACGACCACTCTGTGGCACGAGATGTAGGTCAATACCAAACATATTCAAAAACCGACAACCCAAGTCTACGCACCTTTGCGTCTTCACTCCGAGGTGTTCCTACTCCACAAAAGAACTGTCAAGCTACAGTCGCAACCCTCGCCGAATGCTGTCCAAAGGAAAAGGTGTCACACTGCGCGGAAGGGCGACTTGTTACAGTGAATTTTGGTGATAGCAGAGATGCGGAAGTCACGAGTGCATATACGGAGGACCTGAGAAGTCAGTGACAGGTGCGATGAGTTTGTGGTGATGGCTTTGGTCCAGGGAGCACGAGGTACTTACGTTTTCATCAAGTAGAGGTTTAAAATCTTTGAACCCTTGAACTTTTCGCCTTGGATTGCCGGGTAGAGCTTTTGTTGAGCTTTGACGTTTTTGAGGGAATTAAGTGATCTCGTCAGCATTTCCAACTCCGACGAAAATCACCGATAGCCACCCGTTATCTTATCTCCAGATAAATTCGACATTCAAACCGCCATCCGACAATGTGACGTCCTCTTGAAGAAATAAATGGATCCAGAAAACGCCATGGCAATGCCAAGCTTTAGCGGTCAGAGAAGCACATGCGGTGCTTCCTTCGATTTTCTTCACCAAGTACAGGGCGAAGACCCTGGTAGATCCTTTATCGCGGGATTCGATCTTGCTAGGTACGAGGCTTCCAGGATCAATGTACTTGGCGTAGGTGAACTCGACCTGACTGACTTCGAAGTCAAAAACATTCTTGTAAAACAAGAGACAGGGAAATTTAGCGAACGACTCCAACGTCTCAGTCAGGGTACAAGAGAGGCGCAAGTTTAGTGTGCGTACAGGTTGCGTAGTAAATTGAATTACTCCCAGTGCTAACGACAGAATATATACAGATCACAATTGGCTGGGACCTAAAAGCCTACGTAAACCCAGATACATACGTTTATAGACAACTCATACGCTGTGAGGAATGCGTTCGTCTCATAATGACATTAACGGCGCCGTCATGCGTCAAAAACCCCAAGGTCAACAAGGTATGTAAAGCTAATGTCCTCATAATGAGGGCCAAAATATCTTGGCATCTCAAAGCACCATCGTAAAGTTCCGGCCAGCCAAATACCAACTCCCTCTAAAAATGCCGCAACATCGGAATCCAGTGGCTTCCCCCATGATGGCAAACGTGACTTTGCGTCTATGAAGCGATCGTAAAGTTCGCGGAATTTGACGCCGCTGTAATCTGCTGCAGTTTGAAGATTGCCGGACTTCTCGTGCATAACGACGGTAAGATAATTCCATGTCGCCTGTCCTTTAGCATGTTCCTTGCCGTAGGAGTACACGTCCTTAAAAAAGACATTATGTTATTCAGGAAGAAAAAGCAGAGTACTTACGTTCAACAACCAAGCCATGTCTAACGCTGCCAAGTACAACTCGTTAAAAACTGGATTTTCGTATACCCCGTCGGGAAGCTCGATCCCGAGTGCGTACTCGATGTGGGTGAATGCCATGCGCAGAGCACAGCTGTCCCGACGAATCAAGGTATACTCTTCGATCGACAATACTTCTTTTGATTCACGAACTTCTAACTCCTTAGGGAAGGCTTTGAAAGTCGCCTCCCAGCCCTTCAAAAGCCTCCTCTGAAGGATTGGTCCGGTCGCTTTGAAGAACCGAGCTCGATAGCTGGAGTTGCCGGAATGTTTGATTAAATTTTTGGAAAACGATTAACGACACAACATACTCTTTGATCATCCTTTCGGCAGGCGAAGAGGAGAGCGCCGGGCCATTACTCTGCATAGCGTGAATCGATGCCTGGCTTGTAAGCGTCCCTTTCTTCTTGTCTTCGTCATCCGTTATATCGTCCAGTGCGAACATCAAAAGACAGAAGTCGGAACAATCCCTCAACTTCTGGCGATCGGCGTAGAAAAATGTTCGCGAAGCGAAACGTGGAACGTCTGATTCAAGAAATTTGTCCCATGCAACGTCGGTGAAGATCCCGTAGAGGTATACCCATTTTTCTGTTTCTGCGCGTACAACATCCTCGTGTGGGTTGGTGTTGCTCTGAAGGTTGAGGATAGATAGCAGATCGGGGACGTAAAATTGTTGCGCTGCGGGTCCCATAGCGGATTGGGTTGTGTACTGTATGAGGCCGGTTATATACCATAGCGCAGTTTTGTTAACTTTGCAACGTCGGTGATTTGTAGAGTCCGACGATACTGATCCACACTCAAAGGATGCCGCGCTCCAGGCTCTTTCGAGTTACATGATTCCGAGTGCGATTCCTCAATCACGAAGCCGTTCCGGGGAAGCGCGCAAGCGGTTGCCGGCGATCATAAAAACCCTTTATTAACGCTTTCAAATAAATTCACAAAAGCCTTCCGTCATTCGATTTTAGCAATCTTCGTATGGGCGGTACATCGTATGACATCGATTCTGGGTTGAAGCAGGCCCAAGTTCCGATTTGTTAACATGCACATTGCCATCCGATGAATGCGATCTCCTAGTACTGAGACTCTCTCGCGTTATCTCCCGTTCACAGTTATAACAATTAAGTACGTACGTACGTGCCTCATGACCTGGACCTTTGTATTTAGAAATAGGCGAGATTATACCAATAAGCCTGACCCAGTTTGGCGCTTGTACGTGGTCGTCCAACGATGTTTAGGTTAAGAAACCTCAAGTTAAGATGTAAAAAATGCCAACACAAGAATTTTTAATAGATCGAGATGTTTAATAAGATAAATACGCACACGATATTCGCCGTTGTGCGACTCGGGCACAGTTCTGGGAATTCGCTTGCATGAGTGGGGATCATCCATATGTGCACAGGCCGTAGGACGGGCAAAGTGCTTGCTGATCGATGATGGAAAGTCATGCTGATCGCAACCCAATGAAAGGGCACATTTATCTGGATTCTGGGTCACTAGAAACAAACATTGTTTACGGAGTTAAATCACAAAAATGGGAAAGCGGGAAGACGAACTGGGAACATGCGCGTTCTTTACCCTCTTTCTATCAACACTCTCCAATCACTTGAGCCGTCCAGGACGTTGATGGAACCTTTTCCCCGGTAGATGGCAAATGGAATGAGCCGTGAACTGTAGATCCTCCGACGTCGACTCTTAGGCTCGTGACCAGCTATTTCACTCTCCGCTGCGCTTCCTGCGTGGTTTGAAGGGGGAAGGGGCCGCGTAAGGAACTAACTGGTCGCGAGTCTACCCGCGACTACTCTCGGGTTTATGATAACTACAGCGCTGCGCAAAATAGATAGCTGGCCACGCACAATAAAGTCGGATATTCTTTCCACAATCCTCGCTGCCACCCCCCTCCTCGCCCCAAGCCACGCTTCTTCTTCTTCGCCCCTCTTCATGGTTAATATCCAACATTCTTTGCCCAGTATCCTTGTTAGTTGTTGAACGTTGAACAGTGGAAGAATTTGAAAATCGAGTAATACCCACGATATATCACCTGATACTGTTTGGCTTGTTTGTTGGCTTCTTCTTCTCCCGCACGAAGCCAACACGAAGCGCCTTAACAACTTTTCCTCCGTCTCGGGGCGCCCTACTGTGACACATTGACTCTTGCGCTCACGGCGTACTTGGATCCAGCACTTCAAGTGTGCGGCAGTGCGCACCTGCACCTGCACCTGGTGACCCTCACATATCGGGTCAACGATCATTGAAATGGAATGGGCCGCTGGAGTGGAGTGGAATGGAGTGGATTCAGATCTCCATCTTTGGCAGTACGATTACTCGCGGTGATCTCGATTGCGTCCTCTTTAGGAACTCTCTCCCGCTTTTGAAGAGATCATCCATGATAAGAAATGTCGTCGAATAGCGCTATTAATTGTACTATATACATACTCAGATATACTCGAGGTTATAACTCAGAAACAAACACGAGTAAGTAGATAATGATAGTGGACTCGAAAAGCATTACGATCAACGAAGGAACGAAAGCGGAACAAAGTAAACCGACTTGTACTCGACAAGGCCGATAAATGTGATAATGGGAAAGCAAGTGGTATGGCTGGCCGACTGGGGCCTGGAGGGTCGTACTCGCGACAAGCTTAATCGTGCTATGTATGATAATTGTGAGGGTGTGATGATGTTACTGATGATGTCGATGATAATGATGTGATAGATGCTGATTAGATGCGTGGATATATATGCTGGGGTGCACTGATTGACGGCGCGGGTATGGTTGTGTGGGCGTGGAGATGCAAACGTGGGTGGTGGTGCGTGAACATGAGTGGTAATGGGTGGTGATTGAACGTGAGTGTTGGTGCATGAGCGTGAATTAGTGAAACCAGATGGCTGGTGATACGTGAAAAGGGTCGGTTCATGAATGGTGCGTGGTTCTCCGCGGTGCATGTGTGCGGATGGTGTCGTAACGATGTAAGCAGCCTGATGGCTCATCCATAATACACCCTACATTTGGTCATGAGTATTATTCCCCGAGAAATAAAACAAAGAACTCACCCCCTGGATGTCGTCGAAATTGGCTTAAAGTCCATCCTCCCACTCTCGACGAAGTGCGCGAGGACACTGGCCCAATCCTCTCTTGTATCCCAAGTGATCTTCGCAGGCGGGTCAACCTCGATGGGCATGACCTGGGAGACACCGCCGCATTGGATGATGACGACGAGAGTACCGATGCCCCCGCTATGTCTGCATCGCTCCTCGCGTCGCTGAATGTCGGCAATGACGAGTGGGTCACGGATGTACGTCCTCGGTACGATGTGAGTCGAGGCTATTGAAAAGCTAATCGACTCCGCGTTAGCATGATAAGAAAGTGAAATCAAAAGACGGAAAACGTACCGACGATGGGACTCGACGTGATTATGGTAATTCAAGTCGATGAGCAACGCGTTCTGCCTAACATTGGCCGGAATGCGTTTAAGTTGCAGAGCCTGGAAGCCAGCCCAGCCCAACAAAGACGTATGCGCAGAGGTGAACTTGCGGAGGTTCTTCGCGAGGTGTTCGTCTGCGGCTGGGGAGGATCCGGCGGTGAGGGCCACCTTGGAAACCTGTGACGCCGTGTGCTGGCAAATGGCTTTGTGGCCGGGCCAGTGTTCACGTTGGCAGTCTTGTGACTAGAGGGACGAAATCAGAGGCGGTGGTTTCCATAGTGTTGTCGATACTCACGCAATATTGGGTCGTCATCTGGGAGGAAATCACGTTCATATTAGGAGTTGTGAGGGAAGGATGTGAGAGGGACGTACGCATCCACCGCACAAACGGAACTTGAGAGACGGCGTTTCGGGGGTGTGGCATTGGTCGCAGATACGGTAGCCGCGCTGTCGTTGCTGTGCATGAACAGGGGGAGTGTGGTAGTTCGCGGCGGCAGGCTGAGTGTATGTAGCCATTGTCTGCATCTAGGTCGTTTGTAGGGACAATGGAGAGCCGAGTCAATATCTGGAACGATACTGAGTCAATAACCGACCTCCATTGTTCTTCGTTGTTATATAGCCATGACAATCGTATAACTGTAGAGATAAATCGATCGCGATCTGCAAGATCGCATCGATCGGAATCGCCGGGTTTCGTGAAAAGAGTTGTTGAAGGAACAAAAGTCTAGCGCTGGCGACCAAGTTCTTTTGTTTTGGTGGGACAAAGGGTGGAGGCGTTCTTTGTTGTTGCCATCGTTCTTGTTGTGTGTCCGCACAGGTCCGGACACAACCGGACGCACAACAAGGCACACAACGCTGCTCCAAGACAATAATACGGTGAGGGTATGACGCACCGAAGCTGCGCTTATTTTTTTGACACGGGAGACAAAAGAAAAGAACAAAAGGGCGGGAACTTGAAAGGGGATGCAGGGTCGGACTGCCTTTTTGGGATCATTGTTCAAGCAAGACAATTAAGATGCGAAGATGTCATGCGTCCCGAAACCGAAGATACCTGTTATTGTTATATGGGAGAAAATGTTAACAAAAGAATGAATTCAACGGTTTGTATAGCAGATTCCAATGGAGGATCATGGCTGCTAAATTTAGGGAGTCAAAGGTGCTTTGGATTTTTGGGCTTCTCTCCCCGTTCTCGACTGCAATTTCGAGCGTACATCAGAAAACCCGCCAGCTTCGTTTTGCGTCTTGATATCTTCGTTAGTTTGCAACACCATCTTGAAGCTTCGTAACTTACAACTTCAAAGTTTTAGGAATGGTGCCTGGAGAAAACCCGCGATCCGTCTTTCGTTTATTCCGTCGTCCCTGATGCATTGATGCGTCACCGCGTCACCCGCGAACTATTTCATAATCAAATTTTCACCTGCTCCCTTTCGTGGTCCACAGCTTCCTGCTACCTCTATCAAAGCCTCACTCAACTCTCGACTTGCTTTCGAAGTGAAAGAGAAAATAGACCCTGTACGCATGAGTTACAAGTTAAATCAGGGCTGCAGGCCACGATGCATCAGTATTCAATTAAAAGGCCGGTCCCGATCCTTATCTCAACTTGCATACGTCCTTTGTTGCGCATTTCATCTGTATGTTGATTCTGGGTTTTGTAGGACTCGTCAACATTTGGGGTGTTTACCGACTCAGATGAGGATATTTGGCGCGAACCTCCTCGTGTAGCAAATGACAAATGAAGGAAAGAAAGGTGGACCCACACTGCGCTCTATCCGGAGAAAGTGTGCCTTGGCCTTTGTCCTTTTTTTTTATTTACTTCTCATTCTTTTTCAAAATCATCTAACACCCACACAGTCATTTTTGCCTTGAGGTCGGAGGCACAGTGTGATTTGGTTTTGCCTCTCAAGGAATGAGCTATCCCTCCAAATATTTGATACGATACATAGATATAAAATATGGCTTTATAATTACCTGCCTAGGCCGAGCTACCATTGGAGTTCAAGGTCCTTGTTGAACGAGCTTGGGATCAGCCTGGATTAGCCTTCAATTCACAAAGAACCTCGAGCTCGTGGCTCCCTCTCCTTCGGTTCCACGGATCTCGATTGCGATCGCATCATCACCCTTCCTTTTTTCTTCTTTGTGCTTGAATTTTTCTTCACCTTCGCTCTGACAAGCGCCTTTATGCTCACTACAACCGTTGCCGTGAGTTTTACCTTTGTCTCCTATGGGGACCTTTTCGCATCACATGCTTTCAGGCATCATGCCTCATGCTGAGGACGCCCACACCAGGGGCCGACGACCAGAACTTTCCAATTACACGGTGCACGATCGGTGAAGGCTCGCATGACTCTTCCCTCCTCAACTCAATCTCATGTCTGTGCAGTTGCATTCCTTTGAGTCGAAAAGGAAGGGCAGGTACGTGATTGTCGAGACGCTGACATGACGAGCTCAGTGGCCATGTATCTGCGGTGTTGATAAATAGCGTCGAGAACGAACAACGAATCCCTGTGTTTTCTTGCTTTCGACGAACGTCGCCCTCTGGCTGCGCCTACGTAGCGGTACAGGCTTTGGAATTTTCGAGCTCCAGCAATCTTCCGTGATATGGAGGGACGTTGACGAGAAAGGTGTGATTCCATGAGAGCTGTCATAGTTGGGATATTCATCCGTTCCGTATCCGCGCGCTTCACCCGCAACAGTACGACCGTCCAACAAGTAAGTACCGGATGGAAAAGCTAGGGCCGTCGAAGAGTCGTTTAGCCCTCGGCAGGATATGATTATGACCCAGTGGTTGGGGTATAGTGGATCGGGAAAGTATGAATGGGTAGCGTCGTATCCTGGTCGTATGCACGCACGGTTTGGGTTCGTCCGAAACTCGAAGTGAGACCTAGAGCTTGCCAAATCCTTGGGAGATTTCTTTCCTGTGAGCCTCAATTGCGGAGGCTGTCGAAGTTTTCAGAACGGAGAGAATGTCGAAAGGCTGAGGTCAGGAAAGGCGAAACAATCCCAGGTTTTGTTTGTCTGTCTCCACGGCCAACTTGGAGTTTCATACACGTAGGCCAACGCTGGGCGCGTCAAAGTGAGGCAGTCAAGGTGGGGAAGGGAGATACAGGTAGATAGCTCCGTTAAAAGCGGACAAGACCATATGAAATTGATGGATACTGGAGGGAGGGTTAGATCGTGCATAGCGTCAAACATCAACACCTCGCAGCGCTGGTGAACAAGGGGTGATAAATCGCCTACACGCAGTTCCTCTGCAACATCCTGACAGATCGTTGATGCCTTGCCTGCCGAAGTCGCAAGTGGAGAGAGCTGAGCGCGTCAATCTGCGATGGTTGTTGGTGTTGTCCACGAATACAGCAAGACACTTCCAGAAAGGCGGAACGACGAGCGTGGGGCGGACCGTGAATGTAGGGGAGGACTGGAGTTGTAACATAGAGATATAGATTGCTCGTTTACATCCGGGGGTTGGTGTTGTTTTGGCAAGAAATCGGCACTTACTTAGGACGATGGAGCGAGCAAGTCAAGAGGGTCCGTAGAAAAAGTTCGAGCAAATTATACTCACAGGTTACCGTTCGCGAGATGTAAAACTTGTGTAAAACTGAGAAGGACAAGCAGAAGCTGTGACCGCGATTTACGCCAAGTGGCGTGATGTGATTTAAATTGTCACGTGTCTTGTTCAAGTCACGCATCTCAGAAACTTCCCTTTCCCTCCCCGACCTCTCTACGTTCTTCAATGATGCATCGATCAAATTGCATCCAGTGCCTATCACCTCTATGCACTCTGAGCTTAGTCTCTGACCATAAACCGCACCCACATCCATACACAATTACACTCCCATCAGCACCACCCGCATCATGTACATTCGCGTAGATTGTATCCGAAGTCCTCAAAGTCGGTCTAGCAGCGCTTCGTTGAATGTTGCATGAGATGCTCCTTCGCGTCGCTATAATTTAACCACACCTATGTCCAGTCTTCCTTCACCAACAACGACGAGACAAGTCATGATGCATGATGGCTCCCCGCATCTACGCCACCACTCACGAACACACGGCGAGGACGGTACTAGTGGTTGTAGGCGCGTGTACGTCTATCGAGTTCAACAAGAACAAGGAGTATGCGTATCTGAAGGAGATGTCGTCGATTGCAGCAACAGCCGGGGGGAGGATAACAACCGAGTTCACTGGCTCAGCAGTGCCAGGTTCAGCGTTATCAGACGCATATCTGTGCGCCGATTGTTACGGGCGCACCGGTGAAGAAGCCCATAATATCCGGGTAGTGGAGGTAGTATTGGAGGAGGGGGGAGTGCGTGCTTTGCCTAGGTGAGTCCGTTTTCTGCCATTTTCAAGTGTCCGATCCTCAGACGTTTCTCGCCGGGGTCTCGTTTCGCGTTTTCTTTCTGACCTTTAGAACGAACCTCTTCCTTTTTTCGACTGTCCTCCACTCTTCTCCCTTTTCTGCTCCCGTTCCTCCTGATCAAGTTCTTGTCGAGGGGTCCTGGGACTGTTTGCGATCAGTGGGTCTCCCTTTTCTTTCTTTCTGTGTTAGGTTCTTCCCATTCTCCTGCTTGAGCTAACGAAACCCCACATTTAGGAATCGAATGAAACGCGTCGAGAAGCAAGGAACTTTTGAAACGCAACAGCAAATGACGGTCATGCACCAGCGTCAGCAACAACAGCCTTCACGAGCGGGAAGGTCGCAGCTCCCGCTTTCTCCAGGGTCGGATACATCGATCCATAGGACGGATACAGCTCTTACACATCATGGCGGAGGGGGAGTTCCTCGCAGCCACGCAAGTGCAGATTTTAAGGAGGGAGCAGTCGCAACCCCAATCGCAGGCGCACACGCAGGGTCCACCTCATCCGCCGCACTCACACACGCATCCATCCTACACGTCAGGTTTGTAAAATCCCACACACAAGGTGGTGCTAGTCCGAACCGTAACCCTCCGCCTTCTATAGCTGTGTTGGAGGAAGACGAATGGGAGGACAAGGCTATTGAACATGAGCGTAAATAGGAGCATGATGGGGAGGATGGCGATTCGGAGCAGTCGCCGCTCTCCAATGTTAGGAGGGGAGGGAGGGGAGCAAGAGTCGGGCGGGTGTGAAGAATAGCGGCGTAATTGGAGCATGCTTGTGGGTAGCACGCTCGCGAGTGGTAGATGGAGAAGCAACATTGTCGTAGGAGGGAGAAGCATGTCAGCTGGGAGAAACACTCCGTCAGGAGCGAGGAGGACGACGCCGGCAAACAAAAAAATCCCTGGTGGGTGCGGCGATTCACCCACACAGGATTGAGGTGGAGGAGGATGGGCTTGATATCGAGTTCGATTGCGTGTTTTTCTCTTTCTTCTCTCCCTCGTCGTCGTGCTATTCTCGCTCATCATCATATGCTCCTTGCTATCCGAGATACTACCCGTACCACATAAACGATCTATCATTCAGCACCTGACCGGGATTTTACCTATATTCCATCCAAGCGGTACTGGCACCTCTCCCAGCTATATCATGGCGTCTTCTTGAACCAAGCACCCTTCCTCCTTTTTTTCCATACGTCATGTTACGATGGCCGAAGCCCCGAACACACCACCAACCACCGAGATCGACGATTCTATCTTTTGCGTCCGCTGCAAGGAAATCGTGTGTTCCTAAGCCTCTCTTACTTGTAATGTTACCCGTGCTGATCATCATCGCTAGTCCTCGGATCGTGACTTTGACGGGTTAGGGAACTCCATCCTCATATCAAGTCTCGTCGCTATGGGAAGATTGTGAGTTTTCTCGTTGGCTTTCTTTACGCAATTCTGAAACTTACGCATAGTGTATCGTCGGCTATATTTTAGAGACTTGGAATATCCCAATCAACATGATGTCCCATGCATCCACTAAATCGTCCGTTATCACGTTCGCTATCTAAGCTCCGCGTCCGCGCTTCTACATCCAACAGACTTTATCAACAGCCGCACAATTGGCAAAAACACTGTTAAGCATGCTGGTCCGCAGTCAATGGCGGCCTTGATGAAGGAGGCGGGAGATGGGCGGCGTTGGGGTTAACTCACCCATCACCCATAGCGTCAAGGTAGACGCAAATTCAAAAATTCCCCTTCGCACTTTCCTTGGAGATTGGCGCTCGTTTATTTTGTATCCCTGAATCTCATTCATTCGTGAAGAAATTTGGGATTGGTCGGTGATGAAGGTGGGACTCATGAAGAAGACGACGCGATCTGGGCGAAGCATTTTCGTCTCGAGTTGTTTCGGAGAATCACTTGTATTTTCGTTGCAGCTGCACCTTCGCCTCTTTCAACCTTGTAGCGTGTATTTTTTTTACGCAGCTTCAGACCCTTTTTGTAGGTATTGAAATTCGATTCTCAGTTGCCTTAATCCGCCCTGAACTTGTCGTTTCGCTCCATAGCTGCCGCGCTCTCCGCTGTCTACCCGCCTTCAACCTGCTCTTAGAAAGGAGATTTGTTCTAGAATGATTACTGTTCATTGAATCAATTGAAGCGTTTGGGCTGTTTTCAATCTACATATGCATGTTACAATCTGCTTTTTGGTACTATTGATACAAATTTATTCCGTTAAAAAACGCGAAAGATCTAGAAAAAAACGAAAAAAAAAATCAAAGGTTGTAGATTCGAGGCTGCGTGCAGAAGGCGGCGAAGTTGTTCTGAGAGATAAACGCTACCCCAAGGGGAGCCAGGATATCGAAACCCAATTTCCTGGAGCCAAGGCAGACTTTGAGAACTTCGCAATGGTTGCGCTCCGTGACAGCAGTCTGGATGGCTATGCCTCCCAGTGGCTGGTGTGGATCTGGCGAGGAGTATCGAAGGACAAAGCTTGGAGCGTCATCAACAAATTGCCACTCTTCATCGACCGCCCGAAGATAAGTGGTATTTCCAGAATCTTGGAGTGAAAAATTAAGATACGGCGATATTTGATAAGTCCCCGTCATGCATGGGACGGGAACCATGGACGAGTTGCCTGCCGTTGCGCATTGCGCTGAGATGGAGTTGCTTTTTCCGGGGGAGGCGATTGATACGGATTGGATGTCTGGCCAGAGGTCGGCTGGAATGACCCCTTGCGATACTGCGCCGGCGAATGAGAGCGTTTGGATCGTTGCGTTTGGGTCATTTGCCATAACGTAGTCAAAATAGTGGATTTTGGCGGTTGAGTCTGGGGTTTGGGGGTAATAGAATGACATGAGAGGTTTTCGAGAAGAACCGAGGGAGGGTGATTGGATGATTGCTTCTCCGGCGAAGGAGTCACAAACGTGCGTCCATTGGTACTGTAATTGTGTATCGTTAGCAGGGGTATTCAAATAAAGGCTTTTCGTCTTACCTGCTGGGCGAGGGGCAAGCCAGCGAATGGGGCAAATAATGGGCCAGCGCACATGGCGAAGGCAATTGGAAGGACGATTATGAGATGCAAGGTCCTCTTCATATACTTGATAGATGTTTTATATAACTTGTCAATTGGGGACGCTGCCATCGTTTCACGGGTCTTCCACCATCTTACGTGCTCGAAGTAACTGGTCCACACCAGGATGTTGATGACGCACACCATGTATCCATTGACATACACTGATTGACAATGTCAGGGCGGGTATTAGAGCGATGAGCGCAATGAACACTGTACGAGATATTGAAAACGGTTTCCACAACTTGTGGTGGGCGGTCACTATGTTACGGAGGTTGGGTTTTGACCCTCCTTCCACGTCTGTAAGGGAGGAGCATCAGAGTTTGTCATTCGTAGTTCGGACGAGACAGATACACACATCCCAAAATCCAGGCGGCTTGAAGTCCCGAAACGGAGAGCCACACAACGAGGACTAGTTGACGTCTCAGCTTTGACACACACAGTTTGTTGTTCGACTTACCACCTAACCATTGGAGGGGTGACCAAGAATTTGAAGCGCGCCGTGTTTCCAAAAGATCTTGTTCCCGGGAATTCGGTCGCCCAGTCAGTAAAAACCTGACACCAGTACAGAAATACCGGGGCATGCCCTTGAAGTAATCGAATATGTCGCTCGATCGCTGGACGAGCAATTCGCCGACAGCAAGGAAGGGCGGTATTATAGAGAAGACCGAAGTCACCTAGAATTGCAATATCGTTAAATGCAAATAGTTATCATCGGACCAATCAATATTACCTGGCCGTAATTGAATTGATAACCATCGAATGTTAGCCCCCTGGCTATCCCAAGGCACCAACTCCAGTGAAAACAAAAAACAACGAGGAATATCATCCATGGGTGAGACTTCGTAACAACGAACCTGGCAATCTCATGTTATCCCGTCGGGCGTGTTAAAATCAAATGACCCACCAACACGCCATTGGTATGTACCAGACCGTGAGAAAAATTCGCTTCCACGTTGGGAGATGTTGTGATTTATTTTGCCAGGTTTGGTATTTGTGAAATATGTCACGTCTGTGGCGAACTAGGTAGATTCCGTATATCCAGAGGCCTAAGAGCGACACCGTTCCCAATCCTCCTCTTTGCACGATGTCGTCTATCAGATCACGCTTACCCATCACATCAAGGACGCCGATAAAGTTGGATGCGAGTTGGAACTCAGTCCACAGAGATAGGGTCATTCCCCGGCAGAGTGGACTATTGCGGAAGGCCTTTGTGTAGAAAGACGTCATGAGACTTACAAAGAGCCAGAGAAAGGGCAGCATTAGGCCGAGGTACCGCACAATGGCCTTAGACGACATAAGTTTCTGAAAAAGAATATTCGGGCCGAGGAAAAGGTCTCGAAATGAAGAATAGACGAGGTAGACGGTTATGGGAGAAGCAGTAACGGCGACCGCGTAATGAGCATCGAACAAGGAAAGGTCTTCGCTCCCAATGCTTGACGCCGTTGCAATGAGGATTGGATAGACTTGAGATAATAGCATAAAGATCGAGGTCTTCAAATCATGGCCTGACCAGCGTAGGAGGATCGCTATTCTCGAGGTGTAGCATACATTTGAAAAGTTCCGCGAGGGTGACGTACGAAGCAGTATGTTTATTGAGATATCTGCGACGTGCGTCAGAGAAGTGATCGATTTTTCGAAGACATAGCACATACTGGACACTCCTACTGCAATTCCTCCTACGTCGGGATCAACGGGGCCAGTACGAATTGTCTGAGCAGTGAGACAAGGATCAGGTAGACTGATGGAATTCATGGGTGAGAGGATGAGAGGAACTTTGAGTTTATATAGATGAAAGAGGCGAATATTTCGGATTTTTTCCTCAATTGGATGTTGTGCGGGTTGTTGCCATATTCGCGGTTGTACTGATTGAATGTCGCGTTCTCATGATCTAACCAGCAATGTCAGAAATACGGGAAGGGAACTAATACATACTTGTTTCCAGGTACCCGCGCAACTTACATTGACATCTGTGTGTCCTTTTCTGAAGTCGCACAACAGCTCCAATTTGCACTGCCTGTGGGAATGTTTGATTTTAGGGCACGCACGCAGGACGACTCGAGTCGTGGCCAATTCATTATCAATCGACACCTAACGTTAACTGCTTTGGGGAAATAATTGAAGGAATAAAACAATCGTACTTTTGAACATCGCTCACGCTAGAACGGGAGATGGATCATCGGCGCCGAGTGACGCTCATGTGTCAACCTCATGACTACCAAGCCAAGGCGCTGTTGTTCGGTGAAGGACAGCCTTAGTGGGAAGAAGGTGCAGGTTCGACAAACGAGGTTTAGTGAACCTGAGACGTGGACACTTGCCACTGAGACTTAAGGCAGCGCAAACGTCTCAACTAGGTAAATTGGAGGCGATGGCAGTGGGAAACATCGTCAACACGATAAGAACATAGAAAAGAAAGCTTAACCACCTCATGTGAATCTGTACCTCGAGGCTCCTCGAGGACGATCTCCAGAAGATTCGGATCAATTTTTGCTTTGTTTTTGCTGTTTGGTAGAGGCAAATAAGGTCGATCAATATTATGATCTCATATATCGGACTTTACCTCGACCACCAGTGTAATGTAATCATCAGCATCAAGGTGGATCTGTTCCCATGCAAATCCCCGCGGCTCAAGGCCTCAAGCATCATGAGCCTGAGTCTCAACGGCGGGACGGCCTGGGCTGGTGGCTTACAGCTTTGAGCCGGGCCCCGTACATCACTAATTACTGGCACTTTCCTCGTCCCACAGAACCAAAGATTGGAGTCTTTAGTAGATCAGACGCCAATGCGTTGCCAGCGCATCGCACACACTGGTCAGGGCGCCTGTGGACGCTGGGTTCAAGCATCGCCCTAATTTATAATTGCTCTCAGATTCAACACGTTCTGTTCCAAGGAAAACCCTCAAGCCTAGTGACCTCGTAAGGGTACTATTAGTACAGGGCTGAGCATGCGATTTAGGGGTAGCTAACTTAGCGTATGATTTCTCAAAATACAAATTGCTTCCAAATTGCCTCCAAACGGAAATGTTTTGCGAGACCTTACGTTACTTTCGAGAAGAAAACGGGGGGCTATGCAAGGGCTATGTACTATGTACTAGTGATTATAATATTGACATAGTTCCTGAGCCCTAGACACGGACCGAAGAGCCAAAGAACGGAGTGAGCTTGGATCTGACGAATTTACAATTAGCGCCCGGGTGTCAAACTGTCCATGTCAAGGTCTGTCGGAGCTTGAATTTGTTCGATATCACGGTTTTCGAGGGCATGTCAAGTATGGCGATCATGTGTGGCGATCTGTATGGCCGGAAACGTGACATTCGACACGTGATGTTCAAATATTAGTTCTGCGTCGTGTCGCGTCGCATTGCGCGCTTCACCATGCTCCTTATTGACCTAGTTGAGCAGCTCAGAGGTCATGTGATGCTTCAAGAGATCTCCCTTAGCGTTCTTATGACATTTTTGTAGGGATTGTCATGGCTAACCCCGGGGTATTCCCAGGGTTGTACCCATACCTGTCAGAACTTGTACCCGCGTCCACAGGTGTGGGTTTTTGCGGGTACGGGTAGCAGGTTTATAAAATCCCAGGGGTACCCCAACCCGCGGGAGGGTACGCCTCCATAAATGACCAATGAACCTCGCAAGGGCAGTGCAAATGTCAATCGACACTGCCGTGCGTCCTTGCGAGGATCGGAAGATCAGGGGAATGGTAACTTCACCCCAGGATTTTGACAGCATAGGCAGGGTTGGTCTGCGAGGCGAGGTCCGTTGGTGGAAGTCGACGTTGTGAGGAATGATACATGGTGGGTTCTTGGGTCGTGGTGCTGTTGTGATGGTCGGTCGGCGGAAAGAAGGGGAGAGTTTGCGGACGCACCTTGCATACCCGCCCTCTCATTGTGGCTATCCCCAACATGCCCCTTTCACGCCTGCTCTTTGTGCTCGTTTCGACAGGTTGCTAGAGATGGAGTAGTTAGTAATTAGAAAATAAAGAGAAATGCCAGGGGGAGCTCACCTGGGCCCGTGTCCGCTCACGTTTGTGGGCGGTCGTTTGCATTCGCGGGCGGGGGTCGTCGTGTCCTGGGCGCTCGTCATTTGTTTGAGGGTGTAGGGCTCGTTCGCCGGCGGTGGACATCGTTCGTGGGTGGGCGGGCTGCTGTTCGTGCGCGGCACTGTCGCTTGTGTTGTTCGTGGGCACGTGGGCTCGTTCCGTGTTGTCGTCGTGCTGTGGCATCGTGTTTTCGTCATGCCGCATCGTTCGTATGTTGCCAGGTTGCTGACAGCGACGTGGCCTCTGCATCTGGAGTGAGAGGGGCATGGGAAACATTGGTAGGCACTTACCTGAATGACCTGGACAGCGAAGACGGCATGCGTCGTCACTGTCTGGACGACGTGGCACATCTGCCACGTCGTCTTCACTACCCACACGGCCACGCGCTAGTTTTGTGACATGTCAATCCCGGGTTGTTGCTGTCGTCGTCCGTGTGTGCCGGAGTGCTTGTGGGAGGTCGTCGAGGGTAAGTAGTGGGTGGATGTCTTGTCTTCCTAACCGGTGGTGTGCCAAACATTCCGCCAAACATTTCGCCACATACACCGCCAAACATTCCAATTCTGACATTTTTTGCGGTTTTCCCAAGCCTGTGATCATATCCCAACTTGCTAATCCAATGCTGCGTGAAGCCAGTTCAGAACATGTTCGTGCGCCACCTGCCTGTCCGTGCATCTCACTGACAAGAAACCTGTCTTGTCCAGCCGAACTCTTTCGCCAAGTCGAGCAGCATGTGACGCGCACCTACTCCTCCGCTGAAATTTGCTTCTTTCGTTTGCTCAGTAGATGTCGCTTTCATGGCATGTTCGCGATCGGTAAGGGCGTCGAGTGTCCTGTTACCGTGACCTGGTTTTCAAGTGTAGTTGATACGGTCATAGCGAGGGACCCTCTCTCTTTTGGACTTAGGGGGCATGGCGATGTCGATGGATATGATTCTTGGTGAGTTTCAGACATTGACCGGGACCTGCTGTCGTTAGCGCTTCAACATCTAACTGCTCCACATAGATACATCGCCCTCCTACTACCGACAACCATGCCTTTCTCCAATCTCACCTCTCGATCTCTCATGATGTTTAACTCGCCTTTGTACCTGCCTTTGTACCCCATCAAGCCCTTGAATCCCGCATACAATCTTTGTTGGGCTTCACATCCATCCCCGCCCTGGGATGCCACGCCCACTTCGTTGTCGATCACATAGCCTTTTCGACGATGGATTTTGTGTTCGTTTCCGCATTCTTCGTCATCCGCTCCTGAGCTCGTCCCGACGTTTTCAACTTCGTCAACCAACATGCGTGCTCAAATCCTGTTTCGAGGGGGCTCATTGTCGCCGTCATCCCTGCTTTTTGGCTAGGAAGACCAACCGCTTCTACTTACGCTGAACTCGGACTGGACTGACATTGCTACCTACTTGGTGATGTGGGCATTGGCGGACGCGGGCGGTTACTCATATTCGGGGGTGATAATTAGGAAGGATCGGTCGCACGAGCATGGGCTAGGAAGGTTGAAGACCAGAGGTGGAGCGAGTAACTCGCAAAGTGCGTTCTCTTACCCACATGATTCAGAACCATTCTATCGTGGCTGATTCGCGACTTACAGGTCATCCGAGCGCTTTGACTTTCGGAAGAGGCTGATCGTTTCCAGCGCGCAGCTCTCTCCAGACAGCCCGAATACATACGCAGGATCATGCGTGGTGACTGAGGGTCGATCGCATGTTGCTGGCGCTCGAATCTTTTGTCTCCGAGAACCGAGCTGGCAACCTCAGGTCTTGGTTCGTTCTCTGGATTTCCTCCATGCGTAGATGGCCCTCGTCTCCTCGCTCTGTTGGATGCCTGGGGCATGACGGTGTTCACGGTTAGCATCGTAGGGATTATCATGGTTTCCGGGTGAGCCTCAACCTCGTCACACCCATGTCAATGACTGATTATGTCCCTCTGCTACATAGTCGTTACTCCGAATCAGTATCGGGGTTGGTAGCATCGACGTTCTACGCACTGCTTTGGCTTCACCTCCCTCGCTCTAGGTGGGTACCCAATCGTTTGCGAAGCCTCTCCTGGTCACCTACTCTGATGATCAGGACCTCGCATCCCGTCTCCTATCAATTTCTTGGTTGCATGGTTGTACAAATGAGTAATTGCCGTAAGAACTTTTTGTGCTGTTCGCTTCAAGTGTATAATTGAGGATACTTTGCTGCGCGCCGCCCCATCTGGATTCGATACTTCATTGCAGTGCTGCGTGTAGAGCGTCGTCAGAACGGGGTTACCAAGACTGGCATGACTCCGAATTTTTCTCGTGCTTTCTGACGCGCAGGTTGCGTGTAAGCCACTTTGTGCGCAACGAATAGATGACGCGTTCTCCAATTTGTGCGTTACGTAGTGCTGTGAACCATTCCTGTGCGCTGATGTGAACCATTCCTGTGCGCTGATGTCATCACGCGAAACCAGCCGTTGGATTTCGGAAAAGAAGACATCCCCCGAGGATAGCGACAACTCTGATCTTGAGGACCTTCCTTCCCTTGTAGAATAAATATTTCAAATACAAATTCCAGTCTTTGCGCGTCGCTGTGACCTCGCTGCACGTAAGTTTATTGCTTATCTAACATATCCTGCCTTGTTTAGTAGATGGTGACCAAGTCACGGTCAATTTGACTTGACTATGACTAGCATTGACTGGTCAATGACCGGCACATCACTGGCTGCTGCCGAACGGGCGCCACCTAATATTTCTTAAAAGGTGGGCGGCACAGTGGTCTCCGAGCGCCTGAACAACACCTGTCCACTCTTCTGCACGATATGGCCTACACTGTCTCATGCTCAACAAGTACGGTTGTCGAGTCTGAATGCCCATTGGGGCAGCTTAGAGAACAACACAACGAAAGCTCTTTCAACCGGACCGATACTCGTGCGGTCAATTCCCATAACAACAATTCAATCAGCGACCACAGCGATCGTACGTTAAATTTGCGTTCTTGAATATTGGCCACACGGAACTCAAAGGAACACCTTCTAGATGTCAACCAAATAGAAACTCGAGCAACGGTGAACGATGTTGGTTACGCAGAGAATGTTCAAATTGCTACCCGTATGCCTCCAATCTAACTTCGTGGGTTGCTACTAATCATTATCTGTCTCTGCTTTGTCAAGAACACGCTTCAGAAATTAATTCTGGTACATTGACAACAATCAGGGCAGAAGCCAATATTCTCAACGACGCCAGTGAGCATCTAGTACGATATGTATCCTGATATACCTCAATGGCTTCTTAGGTCACAATTGGGATGGTAACTCTGGTGCAATTACCTCCATTGGCCAAGTTGATAACACTCAGAACCTCACGGGAAATACCACGATGCATTGTTCATGCAACCGGTACACATACGTTTTCAATCAAAGCGATCTAATGCCATCGAGGGAGGGCCGTGCCTTCGCTCCGGAGACGCCAGGAGGCTCCTCGTCGTTCGCTTTGGTTCACCCTCTATGTCCCTGTCACATCTCTCCGCATCTGATGGGGTCCTATGCGGATAGTCATAGTGCACTCACGTCTTCTCCAAACCAAGGCTTATTGCGTAATGACGTTGGGGCGGAAATATTTTCGACACAGGATTTGGCGAACGCAGCTTTGTCTCGGCGCAAAGACGGAGAACCAGTCATCCCTCCCAACCGCCATTTTGAATATGCTCCCCGCGTTCCTTTTTACTCTGCACGAGCTTATTCGTCCAAAGAAAGAGAACCACACAATCATCCGAGCAGCAAGCCATTGCCTATATCCGAAAATTGCTCTGCTGCGGCCTCTGTCGTGATTTTTCGAGATTTTAAACGCTCGTTCATGTTCGCTACGCTCTTGTTTTTTCTATACCGCGTCTTTGAGAAAGTTTATGACAGAGTATTTTTTCGTAGTTAGCAAACTCCCTATTACTCATAAGTTAATCAAACATATGGACGAGAAACTCAATATCTTGAACCAGGACCACACATTTCGCTATGGCACCCCCCACCGTCATTTCTTGGTCGTTTCTTTTGGTCGTTTCATCTTATTTGCTGCCGTGCAAATATTTGTTTCACCCAGGATTGCCAAATAAACGTTTCCATTCCAAGCCCTCAGTTGACGGTGAGTACTGTGAGTTTGAGTATTCCCTCTTACTCCAAATCCACCAACTCAAGCCATGGACGACTTGTTACATGGCGTCGGCTTTTCAACACTCGAACTCCCACAAGTCACATCGTCCAGTCACGGCACTCCGCAAGGCAATCAATCTATCCGTTCATGCGAGTTCGGTGCTGGTTTGGTGCTGGTGGTCTTACTGCCAAATTCAGAAGGTTAGCCTTCCCTTTATCACTTTTTGTCCGAGTTTCAAATTACGCCAGCAGGTGTTCTGGCGAATTGGCACTC